AAGTGACGTCAGTGTTTTGGAGAAGACATCACATCCGACATTAAATAGTGCAGGTGGGAGGGAATCTGGGGCAACAGTTCGAAAGCGATTAAGAACTGTGATCGATTTTCCGACCTCAGCCTCCGATAGAACCCCTAATATAAGCGGCAATGGCTCAGCCTCCATCGCTTGAGCAGGAAAAAGTCCAGGAGCTGGGACTAAGCAAACTGATCACGAGTGCTCCGCGCAACGAGCCATACGGCGCTGCTTACCCGCACTGTCTCTGATTGTCACACTGACGCCCGTTTCCCTGCGACAAGTGGTACGGATAAGCTGGAAGAGCCTGCGTTAATTGCCTATGGCTCCTGCTTACTGTATTCTTTAAGCCCGACTAGTCCGCCGGGCTTTCTTGTCAGCACGCAAGCTCCGTTTTTGTTCACGACGAATAGTCCGTCTCTTTACATTGTGCGCAGCGCCAGTGGAGAGTTTTATATCGGATTCTAACAGGTGGAGCGAACTCTCGCAAATCTAACGACTGCTGCGGTGACGATGAATAGATCATTAGTCAGAGTCTCCCCTGTCATGCATAGTGGGCGAGTTCGTGTTCAACTGAAACTCAGTGTCCTTTGGGCGATCGAGTGAAAGTTCGGTACGCAGAGCATCCTGGCAGACTTGCCTGACGGAGAAATAGAATAACCGCCAGATAAAGTAGACTGAAAAACGACACCATACCAAGGCATGATCAGAGTCGACGCAAGTACTCCAGAACTAGCGAGTCCAGGGCAGAACTACGACACCTGTAACTTATGGCAATGCGATTTACTTGGGTGAGCTACCAGAGGGACGCAAAGTGGCACTTCGGCGCCCAAGGCGTCTAGAAGCCGATGTTCCGCATACAGCTGTAACAAGCGCTCACCGTTTCTCATAATTATCACCCAGCTGAGCTTATGAAGTGCTCAGACGACCCAGTTGCGCTTTCATGTCCCCTGCAACAACAACGATTTCTGAACAAGCAACACTCATCATCATTAGACACGTCAGCTAAAGGTGGGAAACACCTCAGCTACTGTGCCGCAATACATAAAGGAAAAGGAAAATAAATACAAAAGTTGCATGCCAGCTGAGCTACCAGCAACGGATAGGCATCGTTCCGCTAAGCTAGCAGCCCGCTACTAGGTAAAAAGAAAAATTATTGTTTCAAGCTACGAAATGAGATCGTAGGTGGAGGGGAGGCTTAAAGGGATTGGGAGGGACAAAGAAACTCACAGCAGGAACGCCACTAAGGTCGGCTCCTTGCCATGTCAGCAAGTGCATCCAGCCAAACGTGTTCACCGTCTTTTGGACCCCAACCAGGGAGCAGTGACGCTCCAACCGAGGCTAGCTTCGAAGTAAGGGACTTCATTCCTATTGACCAAGTCATCGCTTGGTCACCCCTCCTCTTCTTCCATCCACATCCCCGGTGAGAAAACAACGCACGTCGTGGAAGTCGATGGGCTGGCATGCGCAACACGTGGCCCAGCCATCGGAGTCTTGTGCGTGAAATAGCGGTGCTGAGTGTTTCAGTTCCTTTTCCTGTGCCGTAAACAAGGCGTCGAATACGCTCGTTACTCACGCGGTGTTCCCACCAGATGTGAGTCAAACTGAGAAGGCACCGATGGTCGGACGTAACTAGCCTCTTCATGTTCGCCGATCTTAGGGGCCAGGATTCGCAACCGTACAGTAGGGTCGAACGTACCGCTGCAACAGGCAACACTACGAAGCAGCATGTTAAGTTCGTGAGAGAAAGTGTCCTTTGTAGTACCAGAACTGCAGTCGGGGGGCATCAGCGAAAATCACAAACAAACAGCGACTAGCGCTACGTAGTGAATCAATCTTGGTCGAGGTCGTCAAACGAGCTGCACACAAACGGTGCTCACAGGAATGTAATCAACCAACGATGATGACTCAGGTTTAGAGCTGAGAACAATGCCCACTGCAGCTTGACCAGCGACTGCCACAATAGCATCGCCGGATGCGTGCAGTTAATTCAATAAACCCCATGAGGGTCACTGATCCTAGGTTCGGATACGCAACAACACGTCAATACCCAGCGTGTCCAAACGCGCGTGTGAGTGCAGCCCGTCGACCTGTTTGTGTTACAGTGGGAACGTTGAACGCCGGCAGGGAAAGGAGACAGTGTGGCATAATAAGAAGCTGTTGACAATTAGTGTCCAGTGTGTAGTGCGGGAAGATAGCTGTAGATAGTAGAACTCCAGTGGCATCACGGCTGCTGTCAAGTAAGTTGGAAATTACGGAGGGAAGGTTAGCAATATGGGTCAGAAAGGAAATAAGAAGAAGAGATGGAACCGAAAGAAGGGAGAGGCCAGTAGCATCATGATTTCGTTTGTTCGCCCTCCTGCATGCAGCAGATGAGGTAACCCTTGAAAAACTGCGCGACGGCAGATGCAGGATGTGGCTGGCGTTGGAAGAAATAGTCATGGTTGTACTTGGGCGCCCAGACCTAAAAAGGAGGACGAATAGGTTACTCAATCAAAGCCTTCGGCTCAAAAGCCTCTCCGCAAAGTAGCGGTGAGATGACAGCGATTCGGTTTTGCACATATTGACGCCATCACATTTCCAACCCAAAACATGGAGGACCAGGTGATCGAGTTTGTCTGACCTCTAACCTTTGATCAACCTAGAAAGAGTAACTCCCAAAGTTCCCGAATGGATTACCCAGTATAGATCCATGGGTTAGAGGTACACAAGCTGTCGCACACACGTTACGGCAAAGTCCCGTTGCGATGGTAACTAAATACTTACGTCAAAACATGTTACAAGAGAAGGAGTAAAGCTGAAGTGAAGGTCAGTTCGGAGAACGGAAAGGTTGGGTATTGCCACCTAGGAGTTCAACCGCAAGTTCCAGCTCAGGGAGGACGGAAACGATAGGAAAAGTTTGTGAATGCTCCTAGTTGAGCAGTGTTAAACCACAAAACGATACGGTGTCATGGATGAGGTCATGGAGACTGCGTTTACTGGGCACCACCAACTAGATGCGGAGTTTCTCCCGGGTGGTCGGCTTTGCAGTTGGAGTACGTCGACGACATTGCCCTAATCTGTAACAGTTCCCAAACGAGGTGAACAGCACTGTACAGATTGGCACTGGTTGTCAGTTGTTTCGGGCGAAGCATGGTACCCTCACGAAAAACCGCTGGAACCGACTCCTGCGCTGACCCCCATTGGTGATCAGCTAGAAGTCGTCGACAAATTCAAGTATGTAGGCAGCTATATCAACGCCAGTGAAATGGAAGATTAGATCACAAACCGTGTAGTGAGAGCTCGAGGTGATTTTGCCAATCCCGGAAACCTGTGGCGACGGCGTGACATCACTCTTACCCTGATAGGCAAAGTTTATAACGCATACGCGTGTTCAATCTTTCTGAACGGTTGCCTAACCTGACCCATCAGTTCGAGAAACTTAAAGGGGCTTATTACACTCGACTATCGCTGCTTTCGTAGCTTAGCTCCTGTCTGGTGGGAACACCGCGCGAACAATGAGCGTGTTTGGCGTCCTGTATTTGGTGCAGGAAGAGCGAGTAAACCGCTCAGCACCGATATGTCACGCACCAGGCTCCGATGGCTGGGTCACGTGTTGCGCATGCCAGCACAACGAATCCCGTGTCGTGCGTTGTTTGCACGCTATGAGTGTGGACGGAACGTGAGGAGGGGAGACCAGGCGATGATTTGATCAAAAAAATGAAGGCCCTTAGTTCAAAGTTGGCCTCGGTTGGTGCCCTTTGACTGACGGACTGAGGTCTCAGAAACGGACACGTTTGGTTGGATACACGTGTTGATGTGGCGAAGAGAGGAACTCAGTGACGTTTGTGTTGTGAGCTTCTTTGAGTCTCCGCCAACGCGCCTGCAGCCACGATCCCACACAAGATGCATAATATGATACTAAGCATTATATCACCTGTGTTTTACGTTTTTATCTTTATGTTGTAGTGTTAAGCATCGCTATTTCCGTCCAGTTCATCAGTTTGAATTGCAGCGCAATGATTAAGGTTTGTTGCTCACAGTTAGCTAACCTGTAATGATGTCTATACATTTAATTGGAAACCCGGCCTGAAACTGTGTTTGGATAACAATACGAACAAACTAAACATTTATCTATCCCGCTGTACAAAATACTCAGACCACTTAGTAGACTGTATCCCGCCGCATACGTGCATGCGTTTGCTGTTGCCGGAAGCCATATTATCCCTCAAAACCACACCATGAGGCGTCGTGCAAGTTTTCGCATACACCTTTGTCCAATCAGATTCATACCCCACATGACTGGACTGTGTGTGTGTGTGTGTGTGTGTTGCAAAAACAGAGCACTCGACTTTTTGCGACATGTAGTTGTAGCGATTTCGTGCCCAGTGGCACAATGGGCTGTCACCTTGCGGTCTTTGGAGTTCCGAAGGCCATATGCACCGGTGAACAGGAATCCACCCAAATTGTTATCGAGCAGAAATTCAGCGGTCGTCAGTTGCACTAGAAGATCTCAACGTCAAATCAGTCCAAATTTGGGCTTGAAGTACCCCTCGTTCTGTGACTGGATTGTGACACTAAACCTCTAGTGAGATCTCTGTTTACGTTGACGCAGACCTCCGCTGTTCCGAGCACAAGGACCATGTCTGAATTAGAGGTGTTAAAGGGATTGTCCCACCGAAGAGACCCCATGGCCGGTTTCGTCCTCCAGTGGACTCATCAAGTAAAGACAGCCTGAGGTGAGAATTAGCTGTTACCCATAGTACCTGAGTTCCACCGCAGCTCAAACGATATCCATCTGATAAGTCAAAAAGAGGGCAAAACCGGTCACGGGATGTCAGAGTTGGAAAGAGCAACACTGGAACGCCTCCACAAGAAGATGCATGAATAACAACGCGGCGAAAAGTCGCACAAGTGACACATTGCTACATATTGCTACAATCGTCCTCAGGTTGAAAGCACTTGCGTAGAGCGTGAAAAAGGTGACCTGAAGCCGCATTCGCAGCTTACCGTGAGTAAATGTCACACAAAACTTGACGTTTCAAAGCGTTTTCCGTGGCCCAGCGGCGTCGAATTGCCCTAGGCGAGAGAGGAGAATCGGTGGAATGAGCACACGCACAATTAGTAACCTACTCGCTCATTTTTGTCGCTTCCGACGATCCAGCAGACGCCAAAAGTTCGGGGGTCTGAAAGAAAATAAGTGAAAAGAATAAAAACACAAAACCGATCCAATTCGAAGTCTTTTTCCATTAATAAATTTCGAAGCCACTCAAACCCGTAATAATTTGCGCTGTCACATAACCGAAGTGATTGATTATGGTGTTCGGGCGTCTAAATCACATTCTAGATCTATGGGGTTAGGACCCCGATATTGCCAAAGGTTGAGCGTCCGAGCGGTATCCCGTCCGGTACACTACGGATTACAGTTTAATGAGGCAAACAGCAATCTACCGGGACATCGCGTCGGCATTTTGATGGCACGTGACCACCAGTAGTCGCGTGCGGCCAAGTACTACACTCAGGCGAAATCAGAACAGCCGTAAGGTAGTAGGAAAACTAACAGCAAGTGTAAAGCGGTACACTCTACTCAGCACATGTGACCACGTAAAAACTGTTTGCCAAGAGAGTCACAGGAACGCGAGAACGATTTCTAGTTCGAAGCGCATCAATGGCGGACACTGATTGATTGGCACAAACCCGTACGCACACAAGTATACGCGCTCATACACAGCAGCCGTTCCGGCTGAATAGCGTTGGATAGAATTAGCACGACCTATGACCCTATCCACCCCACCTCCCTTTGGTTCGGACTAACCGACCTGGAAGGTTGAGTTACTAATTGTGCGTCAGTCATCTGTGTATCGCTCGGTGATCGGAATGTCAGATCTGATTCAGTACTTGTTTCACGGTTTGACAGTCTTGGTCGCATATGGTCCAGACGGTGCCGCACGATCCGGCCGTACTCAGTTTCTGCTTCTACGCTCTGTCCGTTGGTTGTTTTTACAACGGCCTGCTCCCACGCACAGTCTGGAGATAAACGGACTTGAATGAGGTCCGACTCTGTCACAATTCTGTCCCTGCTGCAATTAGCAAAATGTTCCTTCTCCCGTTGTTGCCCTTCAGTAACCTGCGACCCAACGCAGTAAATCTAACCGTGTACACAAGCGTCGACCGAACATTAACTCTGCCGGGCTTCTATCGATTGTCTCGTTTGGCATGTTCCGGTACGCGAACAGGGAACGATCCAAACGCACACGCAGTGGAGCATTTGGTTGCGTTGTTAGCAAATTTTTCACTGTCTGTACCGCCCCCTCTGCCAACCCGTTGGATGATGGATGATAAGGTGCAGTAGTTATGTGTCTAAGGTCGTTCCAGCGAAGATAGAAAACTCGGCACTGGAAAACGCTGACCCATTGTTAGACACTAGTGTTTCAGGGAGACCAAACGTCGCGAACGTTGGGCGCAGTTTAGTCATGGTGCTAGCTGAAGTTGCTGAGGCCAGAATGTGGGCTCCAATCCACTTAGAATGGGCGTCAACGATCAATAAAATCATCTGACCCTCGAAAGGACCGAAAAAGTTTTCGTGGACGCGTCTCCGGAGTGTTTCTGGCCACTTCCAAAGCTGCACTTGCGCATGGAAGCGGCACTTCTGTTTTCCTTAATTTTCTTCATAAATGTAAATGTCTGACCAAAATTATTGAAAAGAGACATCTCTTCGCAAGTCTGCTTCTTATTTCCTGAAAGAGTCTGCAATTTCCAACCCTCGCTGCAAGGTCATCGTCTTATTCGGACCACCACACATAAAAGCGAGCTAGTGACTCCATTTTGGCAACCACGGGGTGCGCATCAGGTAGTTCATCCAGGATACGTGATCAAATCTTTTGGGGACTATGACTCGTGCTTCACATGGCAAACATCCGTTCTGGAGGCTGAGCTCAGACATCCTATTAAGGAAAGGTATAAGTTCTTTGGATGTGTTATTTGGCCACCCGACTTGAGCGTAGCGTTTCACCAGCGATAAAACTGGATCTATATCAGTCGCCTGACGTATGTCCGCTGAGGTGACCGTGTACTCATTGAGATGCTGAACAAAATTTACAATGGCTCATGGAGTAAACTCCTCCAAAGGTATTTCTGGTAAAGGAAGTCGACTAAGAACATCAGCTGTGGTATTTTGCCGGCCGGAAACGTATTGGATTTTATATCTCTAGGCAGATAGAATGAGGGATCAACGAATCGTTCTGGGTGAATTCCTTTGTTGAATCCTCTTCTCTTGGTCAAGGAGGGAAACAAGAGGTTTATGTTCTGTATAGATCAAGAAGAGTCGGCCAAGTAAATAGTGATGAAATCGAGTAGTACCGAAGAGCACAGTTGTCACCTGTCGATTAAGCTGCGCGGAATTTCCTGCTGCTGCTGCTGTCAGTGTTCTTCAGGCATATGCAATGGGTCGCTGGTAGCTCTTGGGTAATGCGTGCAGAAAAACAGCTCCAAGACCGTATGGTGAAGCATCACAAGAGAGAATAACAGGTTTTTGCGGGTCGTAATGCACAAGAACATCTGCTGATGCCAAAAGTTTTTAATCGCTGTGAAAGTATTTTCTTGAAAACTATTTCACTTCCAACTTTGATTTTTACGTAAGAGTTGATGAAGCGAATGTAGACGTGTTGCTGCCGATGGTATGAACCTTGAAACTGGGTAACGGCAACCAAGGACGACCGCAGTTCATGAACATTGTTGGGTGCAGGCGCTTCAAGTAGCGCTCTGTTCTTTTAGCGAGCATACTCCGGCTCATAACAACCAATAACCAAGGCAGTGTTGTACACTCGGCACAAGAAATTCACACGTTTATTATTTTTTAAACCAACCCAGCGTCTGATAATCGATTCAGTATGAAATGCAAAGTATGTAAGTGTTCAGGGATAGTACGTCCAGCAACCAGGATGTCATCTCACTATGCATCTATGCTTAGTATATCCTTCACCAGTGTGTCAATAATACGCTGAAAAATAGCCGGGGCGAGCTTATCCCAAATGGCATGTGTAAGAGTTAATGGTGGTGTGTATACACATGATTCCCCATGGAGTCCAATTTGTTGTTAGGCGTGGCTCAGACATAATTTGATGAAAACCTCGCCACAGGAGAGAGAAGAGTAAATGTCAAGTTTCGAAAGATAAACAAAACACGAAGCTTTGAGCAAACAATTGTTTTCGATTACTTCTTCATCAGGCTCATACAGGAATATACATTATGTTAACGTCTGTTGCAATCGTTAGTGTAACGAAGAAACAATTGATCAGATAATTTAACTTGTGATCATGATGATCTTCATCTGATCACGTGACTGAGGTCAGGTGAATTTGCGGAGTACCATTACTTCCTTTACGGCTGGTGGTCGGCCAGGGAAGTTGTAGTGTTTGTATTAGTTTCTTCTGAACACATAAGTCCGGATTTGTTAGACGTATACATATTGCCTCAGCGGTGGCGAGTATGCTTGCTCTTAGACGATGATTTCGTCTTGATGGTATTTTGTAGAGAATTTGAAAGGCTGTTCGTTTGTCTATCATGTGACCTGTGTTTATTAGATGGTTTGTAATCGCACTGTAGTTTGTTCTATTCTCGCGCTTGTACAGCCAACTTGGGAGGTGTTCCTTAATTCTCTTACCTAGATGCCTGGTCGTCCGTCCAATGTACCCGGCCCCGCACGACCAGGTGAACCGGTAGATTAACATCGATTGGAGATGATCAGGCACTCGGTCTTTTCTCGTTTCTTTTCAATACCAAAGACAACCAATAGAACACCATCGACTACTGACAAAAGCGCGCCTTGATGCTTTGAGAGAACTTCAGAAAAAAGGAAGACCTCATCATAACCAAACCAGACAAAGGACCTGGAACTGTGCTGATGGATCGGGCGGATTACATCAAGAAAATGAAAATGATGCTCTCGGACACTTCACGTTTCGTGAGATGTGAACAACAGAAAGATAAAACAGAATGTGTAGAAAACCAATTGATCAATTGTTTGAAATCACTAGTGAACGACGGCGCCATCACCAAAGAAACGTACGACCGACTTCGTCCCATAGGCTCCACTACTCCTCGCCTTTATGGTCTCCCAAAAATACATAAACCTGACACACCATTGAGACCCATACTAGATATGAGGAATTCACCGTACCACAACATTGCGCAGTGGCTGACAAAAATGCCAAATCCCATCAGACAAATGATTGCTCCTCACAGACTGGCAGATACATTCCAGTACATCAACGAAATTAGAGATATGAATGTCCAAGAACATCGGATGTTTTCCTTAGATGTTGTTTCATTGTTTACCAACGTGCCTCTGATAGAAACAATTAACTACCTGTGCCCATACATTGACCAGCATGGTATAAATATCGGTATACGAAGCAACCAACCGAAACAACTGGTACTCAGATGTACGTACAACGTTCAATTTCAATTCAATAGTGAGTTTTATAGACAGGTTGATGGCGTTGCAATGGGCTCCCCGCTTGGTCCATTGTTAGCGGATATTTATATGGGAATGCTAGAAAACGGTCCATTAAAACAGATCATATCCGGTCTGAAATTCTATCGACGCTATGTAGATGATATAATTTGTATAAGTGATCGAACCACCAAACCCCAAGATATAATCGATTGTTTCAACAATGCGCACCCCAATGCCGCATTTACAGCTGAAGAAAACAACAACCAAATGAATTTTTTGGACTCAAGTCTTATCAGAAGAACCGATGGATCAATCCAAAGGAAAGTATACAGGAAGCCATACTGGACGGGACAATACATGAACTTTCATAGTTTCGCCCCACTCAGCCAAAAAAGAACGCTGGTACGAACGCTAACCGATCGGGCATATAAAATCTGCAGCGAAGATACCATAAAAGCCGAACTCGCACGAATCAAAGAGGCGCTTCTCGAAAATGGATATCCGGAGCGATTTATCGAGGCCCATATGAAGCGATGCATACCAAAATTATCAAAACAAACCGTTGAAAAGAAACAGCTTTACTTGACACTTCCATTCAAAGGAAATAGTGCGGCTGAGACATGCACACGCCGACTACAGCAAACTGCAAAAAGACCTTTAATGCGGGCTCAACTGAATGTGATTTTCACGAGCAGACCTTTACTAGTTCCGAGATTCAAAGACCGAGTG